CCATTGACTAAAAAACTGTTAGCATCCTGGTGCGTCACAAACTCAACCGAAACTCTATTTCTCCCCAGCCGTTTGACACCACCGATCTTAACATTATTAATGTTTAATTTCATTAGGAACATACCAAACTTAACTGGGTGAAGCGTGGTGCCAGACGTCTGGGAGTCCTTAAGGGAGACATAAACTATGTAAGGGGGATTGTCCCTGGCCGTGTAACATTGCCTACCATTTACACTTTTCGCCAATTTCGGGGGGTTGTTTTGGGTGATAAGGGGGGAGCCTGCGGGTCGTTTCCGGGATTTTGAAACTTCCGCGTCCATTATTTCGATATCCGGGGTGTTCGGAGGAAGGGTAATTGTGACGATAGTTTCCGTCTCATATTCCGGGGATTTATCGGGATCAGGAGGATCGGGTGGCTTCACCTCGTCCATTTCGGATTAAAAAGATGCGGATGGGCAGAGGAAAAATAGATTAAATATATTTAAAAACACCAATACCTGAAACTTACACACACATACACTTAACCAACACAAAAACACAAAATTTAAAAGATTTCAATTCAGATCACTATGATATAGATCACTTAAATTGAAAACAAACGTAGGAATGACAAAAGCACGTGCGTAACCTTCACCACTACCAACGAAAAGTCGTGTGGGTACTTACTATGCCCAGCTTAAACTGAGTTGGCGAGCCCTTTCGTCGTGTGCATGCTGCCAACCTGTTGCTCTTTTATTTTACTTTTTTATATTGTTTTTTGCTTTTACTTTTTTTTACTGCTGTTTTCTAATGTTATTTTATGTTTTTATTGTTCTTTTTTTTATTTATTTTTTCAATGTTATTTCATGGTTGTAAAGGTGGTTGTTCACGCCTGGTAGGGAATAAATAATTTTCCTTTTTCTTTCTTTCTTTCAAAAGACAAAATGAGAGAGAAACATCCCGAAATGTCAATAAACAGGTAAGTCAAAATAAAACTCAGAAGCTATGGATAATCATATATTTTCTTAAAATATAAACATTTTAAATTGAAAATAACATATTTATCTTACATGATACACAATTTATATTTTATGAAAACTTTGGTTAAAGCGAATATTTGTAGTACAAGACAAAATTTGGAACATGGCCAGACTATTGGCCAGACACTAGGACCACGTCGCCAGACTCGGAGAACTCACGGGCCTGCGGACGGCGAGCACGGGTGACTCGCCGCCCGACCAGAACCAGGCCCGAGCGTACGGCGCCGAGCGTGCAGCGCGCCCCTCAAGGAGCCATCAGACCACCACAGATGGGGCCCAACAGGGCTGATGCCGATACGGAGCCGCGGAAGACTTAACGGGTTACCGAAGCTCCGGCTCGAAGCGCAGGAGTAGGAACGGTGTGGTTTTTAGTCAGTAAGAGTCTACAGCTCCGTATCGGAATCAGCCCACGTACGCTAGGGTGGTTTGGTATGCTATACTCTATTATTTGTTGTACCAATAACTGTGAACGCTTGCTAGACGCAGACACGTAGTGTAATCATTAGCAAGGTAAACATAAGACTGCACGGTCCGATTCTTATGGAACAACTCTTTGTGTGTTCCACAAATTATAGTTCCGTGTCTGTGTGCTATTACTGAGATTTTTTTAAGAACCCAGTAACAGTTTGCCCGACCCTGGAATCGAACCCGAGACCCCTTGCCCGGCAGTCGCACTTGCGACCACTCGACCAACGAGGCAGTTTACCAGATCAATTAAAAATAAACAGTATACGAATATTGTATTATAACAGTATTTGAACAAATACTTATGACTATATTATACACCCGTTTTCGCCACTTATATTCGAGTCTCCCCGTAATTTTGTCTTGTACATAAAAACCGCTCCAAATTATAATTTTAATAAAATATTTTTCGATTGCATAGCCAAAACAAGTGATTTATAAACTTAACCATTACAGAGCATGATTTACATAATCTATACTTATAATAAATCTGTAGAGAGGTAAATTCTGTACATAAAATATATTTAAAAAATAACTATCAAGGGGTGGTTAGGGATCGCTACTGATGCCAAAAATGCAATCAGTAAAATTTTTGTCTGTCTGTCTGTCTGTCTGTATGTTCGTTATGGAAACAAAAACTACTCGATGGATTTTAACGAAATTTGGCACAATTATTCTTCATACTCTTGGGCAGGTTATAGTATACTTTTCATTACGCTACGATCAATAGGAGCAGAGCAGTGAAGGGAAATATTGGGAAAACGGGAGAAGTTACTCCATTTTTTAAACTTCCGTCGCGTGTGCAGGCTTATAGGTTAAAACTGCATAAAAATCATGTATGACGGAAATATTCTCCTTAAAATTATATAAAAAATATTCCTTGACAGCATATGTCTATCTTTTATGGTTGACTCACAATAACACGTGAAACTCCAGATAGCTTAGCAATTCGGTGATTTCTGATTGTATTTGTCTACTCTAACGTTTACAATACTCATTCATAGACTTTACGCTGTAACTGAAAGGCCAATGGTTGAAATTAGCTTGACTCGATATTATAAATGAAAATATGTGAGTTTATGTGTATGTTTGTTACTCAGTCATATTAAAACGAGTGAAGGGACCGGAATAAAATTCGGAACAGATGTAGATTATGGTCTGAAGTGATACATAGGCATTTTACCCCTGGGACCGCGGGCGAAGCTGCTGGCAGAAGCTAGTATAATATAAATTTAAATACAAGGAAAAAAATGACGAAATAATCAGTACCATTCTTTTTCTATAATAATATTATTAAAATATAGGGTAAGTTCGCCTGTTCGCGTCCACCTACCAGTTTTCGTCCATTTTAGTGAACGACCTTTAAAAACTTCCCGAAAATATACCATATATATAGTTGTGTTAGTTACACTATTTATAACTAATGAACGGCTAAATCGATTTGAATGAAACTTGGTGCGGAGGTAGCTTATAACCAGGAGACGGACATAGGATACTTTTTTTCCAATTTCGTTTTTACTTTTTATCAAAAATCACGAACGGGAAAAAACGGGATTGCGCGTACGAAGTCGCAGGCAGAAGCTAGTAATACATATAATAGAAAACTATCATTATATTAGTAGGATTTAGTATACATTTGTTCGACCTAACACGTTTTCAGTGTCTTACATTGGTAGCGATCAAAGCGTCAAATGGACGCGAACAGGCGAACGTACCCTACCTTAAGTTTTACAATAGAAGAATTTCAATTTATTTAATGAAATCATTTTCAAAAAAGTCTTCTATAAAACACCCATTTCATTTTTATATTACAAGCCAGACCTTTTGCATAACATAAAAGTGAAAAAATCTGATAATACTTTGCTCAACTCTGAAATTTAACTCTCTTTGTTTAACTATCATAGTTTTGACCACTGTATCAACAAAGAAAGTAAAATTTCATGCCAACATATACATTCCATTAAATAAATTAAAATCTCAAATATTTCAATTACATTTCTTTATGACTAAGAGGTAACACCTCTGCCTATACGCCTAAAAACCGGTCAAGCGTGAACCGCATTTTGGCACCGTACGTAAATTAAGATAAAACAATATATCAGTACGGAATTCCAAATTAGAAACAATAAGATTTAAGATAGCCAAAGCATAAAAAATAACAAAAAAAAAATATCGAATAAAAAACACTTGGTCCGCAGTTTATAATGAAAAAATATATAAGAAAATAACGTAACGATTATTTTTATCCATGTGATAGATCAGTATAACCACGGTAATACTATCATACAATGTTAAATCCATGTCAATGGTTGGATTTGCCTGCCTTTGTTCGTAGTGATTTGTAAACCATCCTTATTAATTAATATTAATACATAGTATTAAACAAAGTCGCTTTCGCTGTATGTCCGTATGTATGCTTAGATCTTTAAAACTACGCAACGGATTTTGATGCGGTTTTTTTTAATAGATAGAGTGATTCTTAAGGAAGGTTTGTATGTATATACATATTGCACCCGTGCGAAGCCGGGGCGGGTCGCTAGTTAATATTATAAATTGATATAATAACTATCGTGAGACATACTAAATTAACTAAAAATCGCGGGTTACTCACGTGAATATACTGAGAAAAGTTCTAGTTTCGAGCCACAGAGGGGCTCTTCCTCATGAGCAGCGTGCTTTAGAGGATTTTTTCTCAGTATATTCACGTGAGTAACCCGCGATTTTTAGTTAATACTAGACTCTTTTGTAGTGTGTGTTACACCTCGCCCTATAAGTAAGTAGTGTAAGTTAGATCTTAAGGGAGTTAATTAAAGTTATTCGTAACAATAACACGTTTCCCTTATTGCTCCACATTGCATGGCGACCCTGCCAGGATTGGGGATTTTCGAAATAGCTTAAAGGCTTTTTACAGGACTTAAAATCAAAACCGGGTCTTAACGTTCAAAGTCTTGCTTTAACAATAGTTTTTTTTTTAACATAATGCACCATTAACAGAAAAAATACATAAAATAAATTTTGTTTTTCATATTTTTCAGATTCCAAAAACATAATTTCATTTTTGATTTTTACTTAATATGTTTTAATTTATAGGAATAACAAAAAAAGAGATACTTAGATAAATTCGTAACGTCATAGCGACAGCAAAATTGACGAAAACCAAAACGAACCGTCGACATGTATGTCTGTTAGCACATAACTCCTAAACGACTGCACTGAATTGGATAATTCTTTTTTGTCGTACATTAAGGAATACGACATTAATTATATAATAGAAAAATACGGAAAAAATCACCAGGAAAAGCAGCCATAACATATTTTTATAATAACTATCGTGAGACATACTAAATTAACTAAAATCGCGGGTTACTCACGTGAATAATAATGAAATAAAAGAGGGCGCGGTGGGCTCGCAGCGCAAGTAGCAATATCGCCGCGACCGCGCACTCTGCTCATGAGGAAGAACCCCTCTGTGGTTCGAAACTAGTAGAGCTTTTCTCGGTATATTCACGTGAATAACCCGCGATTTTATTTCATTCAGCCATAAAATGTAAATTATAATGTTTTATGATATTTATAATATTAATAGTTAGATGACATAGTTAGATAATTACTGGCATTCCTTGAGCACTTGTAGTGATTTTCTGAACAGTTCCTGTTGAGAACGCGCATGTTTTATCTCCAATTCTGCTAGATCTAGGAGGCTGGAAGGAGAAAATAGAGATATATTAGTAATAATAATAATAACTCACCCCCTATTACATGGGACTCATAACATAGATAGTGAAAAATGGGTGATACATTGTACAGTGGCATAATGTGCACCTCTGCCTACCTCTTCGGGGATAAAAGGCGTGATGTTATGTTATGTATGTAACAATAATCCTTCCATGCCGGTTTCGGCTACGGCGACCGTTTAGTGACTACTGGCGTCTATCATGGGTTCTCATGAGGCTGGAAAATACACCTATATCTATGTTTATGGTATTTTCACGTGTCCACTCTATGGAAGAATATTTATAAACAAAGATATATTAGTACTCATGTCATGTAGCGATTTTGTAGAGACAGCTGCAACTACAGTGCACAAAACTTTGTCGTGTATTAGCTTTTACCAGTATTGTATTATAATACTGTCTCGTTGGCCGAGGCGTCGCAAGTGCGACTGCCAGGCAAGGGGTCTCGGGTTTGATTCCCGGGTCGAGCAAAGTATTATTATGTTTTTCGTCTTCGACCCGCGACGCGGCGACTGTCGTGTCGCGAACCGCTGCTCATAATTATGAGCCTCTAGCATGGCTTGAAACTAGTCGAGTTCTGAGTTAAATAATTACTTGAGTAAGCCGAAAAACATAATAATTAATTGAGTATATCAGACAAAAGTTACATAACATAACAACACGCCTTTTTATTCCCGAAGGGGTAGGCAGAGGTGCACATTTCGGCACTTAATACCACTGTACAATGTAACACCCACTTTTCACTATTTATGTTATGAGTCCCATGTAATAGGGGGTGAGCCTATTCCCATATACTGGGCAAATTTCCAGACTCCGTGCTACTACTAAGATTTTTAAAAACCCAGTAGTACTTTGCCCGACCCGGGAATCGAACCCGAGACCCCTTGCCCGGCAGTCGCACTTGCGACCACTCGGCCAACGAGGCAGACAAAAGCTATAATGTATAATATAACTCACCTCTTCTTGAACGCAGCGACCCGTCGAGTGCGGAAGTCTATGAGCTCCTCCCGCGCACGCGCAGACAGCTGCTCGAATTTAGCGCAAGCGTCCGCTTGAGCTTGCTCCGCCTGGTATGATTAATTAATAATGTAATACGATGCTTATTTTAAACATATTATAGTTGTTTTTTGTGTGAAACAGTTTTTGTTTCACAGTAAAATCGAATAACGCAAATCAGTTTAACTAGCTTATGTCGGAATACTCAAACGCTACTCAATTTTAAATCGCGCTTAAGTATAGTTCTGTCACCACTAATTCTTTGTAAAATGACAGAGATGGCACGATATTTAAGCACGAATTAAAATTGAGTAACGTTTCAGTATTCCGGCATTAACTAATTTAATTAAACTTACAAAGTTAACTTAATTTCCAAATACTAAGAGGCTACTCCATTCTAAGTCCCGCTTGGGTATAGTTCTGTCTCTACAAATTCTTTGAAAAGGATAGATATTTAAATACAACTTAATCACAATTCCAGAAGTAAATCGAACTGTATTCTTTGTGTGTTAAAGTAAAATTAATAATAACGTTTGTCGGAGATTAGGTAAGCTCTTAAGAGTAGCTTTTCAGTATTATGGCTTAAGTGTTAGATTTTAAGTAGGTTACCTAAAACATTCTAATCTTTTGTTTCGTAAAAACAGTTTAACAATTTTAACTACATATATTTGAATGTCTATAATAACAACTTTAACTACTATTATGGATACGAATGGGGCCGTCGGTAGAGGGCGCCCTAGACGGACATCTAGTGACCAGATTGGCGATATATTAAGACTTTGACTGCGGACAGAAAACTATTGAAGGTAAATCCTCCGCATCCTCCGGTTAACGTGTTAAAGAAGGGCCAAATTAAAAGTACCCTTAACCGACGAGCATGCATGAAAAGATTGATGACTATTGATGAAGCGAAAGAGATATGTAGGAATCGTAGTAATTAGCGTTCCATAGTCTCTGCCTACCCCCATGGGAGACAGGCGGGAAGTTATGTATGTATGTAACTACAATTATATACAACAACACAAACTACATATAATCATGCACACGCACACATACAAATAACATTAAATATTTTAAACTACTGGAACACAAACTATACACTTTTATAAAAAGGTTCGCTATTCGTGATATACTTGCGAGCAGCGCGTTCGCCCAAAGTAATGCAGACGTAATATTAAATCTTTCAGTCTATTTTCTTTAAAACCGTTGTCTCACACTAGAATTTCCTCCTGTGTCGTGTGTGCGTTTACAAACATACAAGTTCACATACACGTCACACAGACACGGAACAACAATTTGTTGATTACACAAAGAGTTGCTCCGTGCGGGAATCGACCCCGCGACACGTTGCGCGGCAGCCGGTTGCCCAGCCACCGCGCCAACCATGCCTTTTAAAGGTTTTTAGGTACGCAAAATGATTATAAAAATCTCAGCTGCGAGGAAAACACTACAAAATAAAAAGGAACATTCGTACACTTTTTGTAATGATTGGAATCTCAACGGAGTAAGCACTACGATTAACTTCTAATATTCATTCGAATTTTACTACGGGAATGGGAAATATGGAATTTTACAGGAATCACAGAAATTCGACGGGAATCACGAGAATTCGACGGGAATCACGGGATTTCGACGGGAATCACGGGAATTGGAAGGAAAGTTACGGGAATTGGACGGAATTCGACGGGAATTAGACGGGAATCACGGGAATTCGACAGGTATCGCGGAAAACCGTTGAAGTAGCATATTAAAATTATTTAAATTACAGATAGAGAATGGGTAGTAAGTGCAAACTAATGATTACCTCCTGTACTTCCAAAGGCTGCGTTTTACATAAAAATGATACACGTCAAACATTTGTGGTAGATTGGACACATATTGGGACGTTGGTAGCCAATATTTGGGGCAAAATATAGAAAGAAAGAAAGAAAAATTGTTTATTTGCCTACCGTCACAAGATACAATAACACACAAAAAAAATTAATACAGTGAAGACGGCGCAAAAAGGCCAGAGGGCTTAGTACGAGTTTCTTTTTCGTTTGGCTTATACTGAGTGGGTGACCCTTTTAGCATAGGCATGTTGTCAGCGTCTCCTTTCTAATTCTTCTGTTTCAATTTTTCAACTCTTATATTTTTATTACTTCCACTGTCACACCTTGATTGTCTTTTTTATTTTTTATTTATGCTGCATCGTGCCTGGTGATCAATAAATGTTTTTTCTTTCTTTCTTTCTTTCTCTTTCTAAAGTAATCGAAACGAAACCTCGTCCGGCGCTCTAATTGGTTAGTTCATTGGCGCCGGCCAATCAGAGTGCCGAACGCGCTCTCGTTACGATACTTTAAACGTAAATAAAACTAGTACTAAGGCCTCTGAGCTCAGCTTAAATGCCGTGACCCGAGTGTGCTCGAGTCGCGGCGCTGTTTCAGCACTTATATACTTTTAAAGTTATGGAGATCGGAATTAGAATAGTGAATCCCCCAAAAGTAAATCAACAACAAATAAAACTTCGTTATTTCTAAATCATTTTTAAAACTAAGTATTTAATCTTATAAACCGAGAACTACCGTTTGTATTGTTTTCTTTTTACGAATATTTTAAATAAAAAACTGAAGTAAAACCTCTTATTTTCAATAACCGAGCAATAAATAATGATCGCCCAACGTCTCAACATGTGCCCAACAAAAAAACAACACAATGTGAACGAAATAGAGTCACAATTTAAACGCCACGAGTGCTCAAAGACAGTCGATATCCTTAATCCATAAATACGAGATAATTTACTATTATGAACCTTAACTCATCTACGTTTAAGTTCATTTTTCTTTGTCATAACAATTCTTTAGTATATTGCTATGATTTTTTTCAAAAATATGTTAATGGAGGCGCTGTTATGTGGCTTAAATGGTGTTTAGTCATTCTACCATTAGTATGCCAACCCATAAACAATTGGGTACTTTCCTTAATAAAAAATAAATTATTTCGACTGTTCAATACAATAAAACATTAAAAAATAATCACACTTCCATTAATTGATTTTATGACCAACTTCATTTTAGTATTTTTACAGGAAATTTAAAAGAAATAAGTACGCTGTTTGACGCTAAAAAAACGTGACGTCACAATACACAATCTCCTACAAAATTCATAGAAAACTGTCGTTTTTGACAGTTCGAAAGAAGTATTGAATTGGACTAGTTGACAAGTACCCAATTAGTCAAGATTAAAACACATTTAACGATAAAGAAATAAAGTAACTTTTCGTACGACATACAGTTTGCTTAATTAACTAAAATCGCGGGTTAGTCACGTGAATATACTGAGAGAAGCTCTACTAGTTTCGAACCGCAGAGGGGTTCTTCCTCATGAGCAGAGTGCGCGGTCGCGGCGACATCGCGCAGCTCACTGTAGTTAGAAACTAGTAAGCTTTTCTCAGTATATTCACGTGAGTAACCCGCGATTTTAGTTAATTTTTTAGTATGTCTCACGATAGTTATTATAAAAACTTTTGCCACTTATTAGATTGATATTCAATTTTAATACTAGAGTGTTAAGGTTTAATATTGATTAGTTTTGCTTTAGAATTTAAATTATTCAAGTCTACTTACAGCATGAACGTCCTTGTTCTTTGCTCTGGCTTTCTCCAGATTTCTATTGGCAGCTTCGTAAGCAGCTAGACATCTGTAAGTAACAAGTGAAACAAGTCAATTTATTTCTGCAAATAGGCTACAAGGCAGCACTTTTACACGTCAATTTTATCAAGCGAACGATGAAGTCGACATTTCCTAACTGACTACTCTGAGAAGAAATGCCGAAACAAACTCAGAGGTCTGTCTCTTTTAAAGTCCAGACAAATATGTATAAAAGATTATGTGTGAAAACCGTGCAAGTTCTTTCTGTAGTGGCCTTTTGAGGAAAGAACCACAACAGTTTGAGCGGACCCGTTCTGAAGGCAGTAAGCACGTGTCGGTTTACAGTCAGCTCAATTAACAGGTGAGGCTGACTGATCCGACGAACAATATCAACCTAAAGAACAGAAAAGAAATGGCGACATCAACAACACGGCTGTTAACCTCGTCGATATATGAGAAAACGCATTAGGTCTCACATAGGGATCTATTACCCGACACTTCACAGGTAAATTGGCTAAATGACACATAACATAACATCGCCTTTTATCCTCGAAGGGGTAGCCAGAGGTGCACATACGGCACTTAATGCTAATGTACAATGTAACACCCATATATCATATAGATCTACCCTTTAGTATTTGGACATAAGTATTTAATAGCCATTAGAAAAGTTTATTTAAAAAACACAATTTAATATTAACTTCTAAACTGATTATTGCTATGATGATTATTATATGATTATGTCGTGGTGACCCGGAGGTTTAAGACGCCTGCTTCTCATGCATGAGGGTGCGGGTTCGAAACCTACCAAAGGCAAGTACCAATGCGAATTTTTCCGAGTTATATGTACTTCCAAGATTATTTAAACACCACTGACAAACGGTGAAGGAAAACATCGTGAGGAAACCTGGGCTTATAATTTGTAATTATAAGTTTGTAATAGACAACCCGCATTGAGCAAGCGTGGTGATTAATGCTCAAACCTTCTCCGTGTGAGAAGAGGCTTTGCTCAGCAGTGGGCACTTATAGGCTGTTGATGATGATGATGATGATGAAACTGATTATTCCGTTAAGAAGACTAAAGGCATAAGAATTTAAAAACGTCTTAGTTTTAGATTCTAGGTTTTAGGCCTATCGCTAATTATAGTCTAGCACCTGGTCTCGAGAATCCAGTACATCATACCTGAGTCTCCGGACGAGCACTGCCTTGGCAGCGTGTGCGTCTCTCATGTAGTAGCGGAGAGTGTCTGCTAGCTTCAGGTCCTGGTCTGATGCCATGCGACCCTCGATTTTCTGCGAAAAATGTAAAAAAGATACTGTATTTGTGAAAAGTTTAACACGTTAACCGCCGCGTAGGTCACCGGTGACCTACGTTAGCGGAGGATTTGCCTTCAGCAGTTTTCTGTCGGCAGTCAAAGGATTAAATAAAAAAAATTAAAACGATTACATTGTAATCGTCATAGATCGACATGTAGCTTATAAATACCTCTTTTCGTAACAACTGTAAACCCCCTTTTCAGCCGACTAACTTAAAAAAGGGAGATCTTGTTATAACCGGTATGTATGTGTTGCTTAGGCGATTTTGATGTGGTTATCAGAAAAATATTTTAAACAAAACATTGCCCCACACTAGGATTTCCTTCCGTGTCGTGGTTGCGTTTACAAACATACAAGTTCACATACACATAACACCCAGACACGGAACAACAATTTGTAGATCACACAAACAGATGTTCCGTGCAGGAGAATCGAACCCGCGACACATTGCGCGGCAGCCAGTGGCCCAGCCACCGCGCCAACAGTGCAGTCAATTCAAAAAAGTATTCGGGCGTTAGATATACATAAGTCATAATCCCCGTCATCTACAGGGAGAATAGTCCACGCTATTCTCCTGATTCTAAGAAATAAAGTTTCTTTCTCCTAGTGAATCCTAACAATACGTATCTTACAAGCGCATATTGTAATGACTCACCCTGCACTTGTCGAATGTCTCAGCAGCCCTGGTGAGGAACCTCTCAGTAGGAGGCTGCTCCCTCGTCGCTAGCTGAGTGATGCACGACGATAGTCTGATGTGGGCGTCTGCTACCTCTGGTGATTTTAATATTTATGTTAGGATTAACTAAACAATTTTTTATAAATTGTTTGTGTGCCGCTGTGCCTGCGGCCAGAACCAACTTGTTGGCAAAGGCTCCCCTCACTAGAGCCATAAATGTCTTGAACGAAGTTCATGAAAGGGTAGATGTGTTGAGTTGCGGTGTGAGTGAATTTGTAAAAGTCACGTTGTACATATTATGCTACTCATAGGTTAGTTAAAATTATTATTAACTTATTTTAACTTTACTTTTACTGTATGTTTGTTAATTTTTATGTAGTAAGTAGTGCATCTTTGATCTCGTTAACGTGTATGATCTCATTTAGGTATTATAATATTTGTAATAGATTAATGTTATGTTTTAGGAATCTTGTACTTGTTATACCTACTAGAGGTTAAGTATGTTGTATAATATGTAGATTTTTAATTTTTAAATTTAAATTAGTAATTGTTTTTGTTTATTTTTTCTTTGTGTTGCAAAATTTCTTTTTTGAGTTTAGTCGGTTATTGAGTTTAGTTTAGCCAAGAATTTGTTCATTTTTGTTTTTTAATTTATGATTTTGTTATAATTTGACGTTACATAGATTTAGTTTAAGGCCTAGCTATCGCAATGGAGAAACCTGTAATGGTAGTTTAGGTAAGGTTTTATATAAATAAATAAATAAATAAGTAAATAAAAAAGTGGGGTAAGCAAGCTGGCGGATAGTACCTGATGGTAAGCATCAGCATTGCCCATTAACATGCGCAATACTAGAATCCAAAACTAAGAGTTACAAGTGCGATGCCGGCTTTTTGGGATTGGGGATGGGGGATGGGGATTGGGGGACGTGGGTGAGAGATAGGGATTGTATTTAGGTACTTGCCTTAATCAAAAATAAATTATTTCGACTGTCCAATACAATAAAATATTAAAACATAATCGCATTGTCATTAATCGATTTTATGATCAATTTTTAATTTAGTACTTTTCCAGCGCATTTTTAAGATATAAGTATGATGTTTGACACTAAAGAAACGTGACGTCACAATACACAATCTCGTACAAAATTCATAGAAATTGTTGTTTTTGATAGTTCAAAAAAGTATTGCATTTGACTAGTTGGGAAGTACCCAAATGGGGAATTGGGCTTCTGATAACCTCACTAGGCGAAGCCTCAGCACAGGCGTTGTTTCACGCAGGTTTGAAGTGAGGCCGTGGTATCACTCAGGTCAGTGCAAGCTAAAATTAATCTTAAACCCCAACAAATAAATTTCACAGTTCTAAATCAACACTAAACTCACCTTTATGCTTTGTAGTCATCCGATCGACCTTGGCAACAGCTTCCTTAAGATGAGAATAGTACTCCTGTAGGAATGTGGTCTCTTGCTCGAAGAAATCGTTGACATCTCTGACGGTGGCGCCGAGGTAGATCTCGTCTGTTGTGGTCGTCATTGAACGCATCTGTTGATGTGGGGGTCAGAAACATATAAGGTGAAGAAAAGTTCAATTATTTTTTTAAGTCCCCCTCTTTCGGGATAATAGAGGGGGGCTTAAAATGTGAGGGGTCACACTACTCCACTTTTGAGAAATTAAGTTCTCTTTTTCTCTTCCCTTTATTGTATACCCTCTTCCCTATTTTCTATATCCCTCCCATTTGTATCTATATTTTATTTATTCTTTTCTTATTACCTTCTCCCTTCGCTGTTAGAAACTTTCTAAGAAATACTTTTCTTTCTTGTCCTCTCTCCTTTTTCTATAGCCATCCTTTTCTCTACACCTCACTTTTTATCCCCCCAACTCTCTCTCTTTCTCTGTATTTTTTCTTTTCCCCAGTGTTACCAATCCTTTTCCTACCCCTACACCAATCAACATTAGATAAAAAAACACATTTATGAATTAAATACAAATTACTAAAAATAAAGAAGCATACCAAAAATCCAAAAAATAATAATAATTTACATACGAAAAGGGTAGGCAGAGAAAACATACACAATGTATCACCCACTTTTCACTATTTATGTTATGAGTCCCATGTAATAGGGGGTGAGCGTATTGCCATATACCGGGCACAATTCCAGACTCCGTACTATGATGCTACTTTTTTACCAGAATACGAAACCAGGGGCAAAGCAGACAAATTACTATTCGACCAGCCACTTAAGCTACTGAGATAAGTGCATGACCATGAGCAGCATCCTCGAAATCTAAAATGACGTAACTTTTTTTGATGACGAGGGAACCTTAAAAGGCGCCTAGTTTTTTGAGGATAGAAGACTGAGAGAAGGATAAAAGAAGAGGGAGTATGGGATGTAAGGGGCACCAGCAGCTGCAGCCAAATGCCATTTAGCGCTTGTCTACATGTAGAATAGAAAACCAAATTATATGGAATTGACGTAAATTTTGACACTTGTCAGTGTCATCCCCATACATTTTGATTTCTACTCTCTCTGTAGACAAGCGCTAAAGTGGCGTTTGGCTAAAGGCACAGGTCTTCTAAAAGAGACCTGAGTGTCAAGCACGAATTATGATCGCATTCGTAACGTTATAGTATCGAGCGAGTTAAGGAACCCCAATATACACATATTAGCTTCGTAAGCAAGAATAAAGTAACTAAATAATGACTTTTTATCTAGGTCATACATTATTACGAAATTACTGAATTAGCAGATAATTAGTATATAAGAAATCAATATTGTATTAAATTTAGATTATTCTTGTTGTAACTCTGTTCAAATAAATATATATTTTTAATTTCAACGTTGTCAGTCACTTAAATGGCGCAGCCGGTAGGATTTCTGTAGTCAGTGTTCCAGTATTAGTACCTACTAGAAGACCGACGTCCGTTTCAACGGTTCAACCGAAATACCGATCAAACAAATTTTTTAAGAAGACTTCGTGGACAACAGCAGAGCTAACCAAACAACAAGAAGTCCGACACGAGATGGGAAAAGCTGCGGAACTGTGAGTAAATCTTTTCACCTTCCTTTCAGCTATCCATTTTTCGAACCTTGTAATAAGTTTTATGTGTTGTGTGTATTATTAGGGATTGGAAAACGCCGTGATAATACTTTGCAATATTATAACTTGTAGGCACTTAGTTAAGTGACATTATTTTTACATCGCAGTAAGGCATATTTTTACGTAAAAAAATTTTTTTTCTCGACTTCTCCTTACTTCTTATTAATTAATAATCATGGAAGGAATTAACCGTGTTCCACAGGAAATGGTTAAAATCATTCCTATTTTTAGCGGAGATGCTAGGACATTAGCCCTATATATAAAAAAATGTGAATACATATTATCTACATTCCAAGGGAACGAACATCAAAATGAATATTTGTTCCATGTAGTCACTAGTAGGTTAGCAGGTGAAGCAGCCACTTTGGTAGGAGAAAGAGACACCATAGGCACTTGGGATGAGCTTAAACAATTACTAAACCAACATTTCGGTGATCCGCGTACAGAAGAATGTTTAGCAATGGAGTTAGAATCCTGTAAAATCAGTAAGGGCGAAAGTTATTTGGATTTTTGTCACAGATTGCAACACATACGTAGTGTTCTTTTTGCTAAGTTATCCGAAACCGTTAAAATCGAAGCGGTACGAGCAGCAAAACAAGTTATTTATAGTGACAGAACAATGCACGTTTTTCTCTATAATTTACCACAGTATTTAGTTCGATTAGTTCGTTTACGTAATGTCTCTACATTAGAAGATGCGTTAAAAGTAGTGTTGGAAGAACAAAATTTTCAAACAGTTTACGACTCTAAAACAAACCAACGTCGTAACAATAATTTTAGATCTTTTAATTTTAATTTTTCTAACCCTAATAATCAGAATAATTTTTTAAATAATGCGATAAGTTCACCTGTCCCAAGTAACGTATACAATAATTCTGTACCGTCTAATAATTCCTTCCAATCTAGGAATTCTCGACAGTACGAAAATAGAAACAATTTTTTAAATAAAGCGATAAGTACACCTGTACCAAGTAATACGCATAACAATTCTGTACCGTCTAATAATTCTTTCCAAGCTAGGAATTCTAGACAATACGAAAATAGAAACAATTTTTACAATTCGAATCATACAAATAATACCAGTCCGCGTATGAATAGACCAACGGTACCATATCACCAAAGTCAGCAGTTTACAGGACAACACGTGTCGCCTCATGTTGCGCAAGCATCGGGTTCAAACACCGATGTCACTATGCGTACTGCAAGTTCGCGTCGTATTAATTACACCGATAATAACAATTACGATAATTTTACTACTAACGATTACCACGAATCTTCGGGTAGTAATAACGATTCGAGTTCGGATTTTTGCCTGACGGCCTCTCCCCCAGGGAACGAATAAATTTAAATTATAATACTCGTATACATTTACCACATATTGTATTACCGGAATTAAATGCTATTTTTATGATAGATACAGGTAGTTGCAGGTCATTTATAAGTCCAAGTTTAGCGAACAAATATTTTAGTAGCTATTTGCAATATGAGCCGTTTGAAGTTGTTAGCACTCACGCTTCAAGTATCCATAATGAAACTATAGTTATTCCTTTACCAAAATCATTTAGAAGTACCGAATTACATAAATTTTATGTTTATAACGTAGATAAAAGATATGACGGTCTAATTGGGAGTAATTTACTTAAACAATTACAGGCAAAAATTAACATGGAGAGCCAAGTTCTACAGTTAAAAAATACTAATATACCAATAATTTATTCACCACCTATGAAGGAGGTGTACCAATTACCTTTTCGTAGCGAACTTAGAGTTAAACTTCCGGTCAATTTACAAGATGGAGAAGCTATACTAAATTTTGTACAGTTCGGAGACGGGATTAGAATGCCCGCCGCATTAGTTAAGTGTCACAAAGGATACGCAACCACCGTTATTCAAAATTATACGGATGTATCTAGAGATTTAGTAGTTACGGCACCTTTCAAAGTAGAACCGTACATACGAAACCCGACAACTAATATTAACTTCACAGGTTGTAATGCCGATACCGACAGATTACTAACCGAAAATTTAGACAAATTAAGACTAGACCACATGAATGTAGAAGAACGTAATGCTATAGAAAAGATTTGTAGGGAATATAAGGACATTTTTTATTGTGAGGACATACCGTTATCATTTACGAATCAAGTTAAACATCAAATTAGAACTAGAAACGAGGACCCCATTAACATTAAGGCCCATAGATTACCACCCATGCAATCGAAAGAGATTAGGAATCAGGTAGAGAAAATGTTAAGAGATAACATCATCCAGGAATCACATTCTCCCTGGAGTGCTCCTGTACATTTAGTACCCAAGAAGATAGACTCAACGGGACAGCAAAAATGGCGAATGGTAGTCGATTACAGACGGCTTAATGAAATTACCACAGATGATAAATACCCGTTACCGAACATTAATGACTTGTTTGATATGCTAGGAAAAAGTATGTATTTTACCACCCTCGATTTAGCAAGTGGGTATCATCAAATTGAAGTTCGGGAAGAAGATAGGGCGAAAACTGCATTTAGCACTCCCTCAGGGCACTTTGAATTTAATAGGATGCCTTTTGGACTTAAAACTGCACCAGCAACGTTCCAACGGGCAATGGATAACGTCTTAAGAGGTTTACAAGGCTTGCATTGCTTGGTCTACCTTGATGACGTCATCATATTCTCAAAAAGCCTCACTGAACACATAGAGAAACTTAGAACCGTTTTTGAACGTTTTCGTAAAACTAACCTAAAAGTCCAACTTGATAAGTCCCATTTTCTCAGGAAAGAAGTACTATACTTAGGCCATACTATCACAAGTGAAGGTCTGAAACCAAATAATGATAAAATAGAAGCCATTTTAAAGTATCCCATTCCAGAAACTGTAACTCAAATAAAAAGTTTTCTAGGATTAATAGGTTACTATAGAAAATTTATAAAAGATTTCGCTAAAATCACGAGACCCTTTACAGCATGTCTAAAGAAAGGTAGTAAAATAATTATTAATAATGAGTATAAAGAATGTTTCGAGACTTGTAAGAAACTTTTAACTAATGCACCATTGCTGCAATACCCTGATTTCAGTAAAAGTTTCATATTAACTACTGACGCATCAAACTTTGCGATTGGGGCTGTTTTATCCCAGGGAAACATTGGCTCAGATAAACCTGTTGCTTACGCAAGTAGAACGTTAAGTGACACTGAAGTCAAATATAGTACGATTGAAAAGGAACTTTTAGCCATAATTTGGGCCGTTAAACACTTTAGACCCTACCTATATGGTAACAAATTTACAATTTTTACTGACCATAGACCTTTGGCTTGGCTTTACTCATTAAAGGAACCAAATAGTAAACTTACACGTTGGCGGTTACGATTAGAAGAATATCAGTTTGAAATTAAGTATAAGAAAGGGCCTCAGAATACAAATGCAGATGCATTATCTAGAATTAA